TGGCTGGCCACTGGGTCCTACAGAAGCCTTCTGCCCTTTTCAAGCAGTCTTAAGAAATTTCCTGTTCTATGGGGTGTTAGTGACTTTTTTTTTCCTGGTCGCTAGGTGGCGCCAGAGATCTCTCCTATTGTCCTTGGGGGGCTGTTTTTCGCCTCCCCCACCCTGTGGGACAGGGAACAGAGCGGGAATGGTAGGGTACACCTCAACAGCTTTGGGGTGCTGTGTCTGCCTTGTGCCCCACCGTCGTGGAGAACCCACGCCCCGAATTTTCGTGCCCCGGGTCTCAGTTCAAAGCCCTCAGTTCCAGGACGCGGGCTGTAGCCCAGTTCAGTGGCGCGGGAATGGCGCCTTTTGCACCGCTCCCATGCCTGGGCGCCTGGTTCCTGCTCACTCAGGGAGGGACCTTCACGTCAGTGAGGACCTCCGCGCGTCTCCCCGCAAGCCTAGGTCGTCTCCCCGCAAGCCTAGGTCGCAGGCGCGGGGACCTGGGCAGCTGCGATCCCGGTCTGCACTTGCTTTTCAAGCGCGCCGAGCGCGCCACTTTTCCACGCAAGCTTACCGGCAGCCCGGGCTGTGTGTGCGTCTCCAGGGGTCTTTGTTCTTCTCTAATGGCGCCCGGAGCCGTTCGCTCACCGCTGCGGCGGAACCTGCAGGGTTCGCCTCAGCTCCCGTTCACGGGGTGTGGTGGCTGCTATAGTTCCTTTCCACGCACAGTCCCGCTTGCTGCGTCGTTTGTTCTTGTTGGTTGTTTTGGTTTGTTGTTTCCCTCCTCTCTGCCGGTCGGAGAGTGCCGCCTCTGTGGGCGGGGGAGGGGAGCAGGGTTCTGCGCTTCCCTCCCTTCTAGTCCTCTTTTATGGCCACTTTCTTCTTCGGGTAGTTTGCTGGAGTCACCCGTTTATCTTCCGTGTCCCGGTTCTCACTGGGACCTGCCGCTTTTCCTCCCTATTAACTTTTTTTAATGGGAGATCTTACTCGCAGCGTCTCCTCGCCGCCATGTTGCTCCGCCCCCTCCAAGAAACACCTCTTTTATATTGTATTTGTTAAAATAATTTATTCCTGCCTATGAGTGATATAATTTACCTTACCAGAAAGAAGAATAAAAAAGCAAGGTGAATTTTTTTTGTGGAAACTTTGAGGGGCAATTTTTATGAGTAATTCACTGTAGGTTATCTATAAAACCAATGCCTTCTTGGGCCTTCCTGGTAGTGCAGGGGTTAAACTCTATCAAGCTATCACCAGCCACTGTGGCATGTGTTCAATACCTGGCCAGGGAGCTACCCCATCTGGCGCAGCAGACCTCTCCTGTTTTACCCACTGCTCCTCTCAGAACAGTTTCAGTAGATCCACCTGTACTATTCCCCACTCTGTCTCTGGTGAAGCCTCTCATCCCCCGCTCCTCTGGCCTATACCCCAGTTCTTGTATGACTAAATAAATGAAAATCTTAAAAAAAAAAAAAAAAAAAACAATGCCTTCCAGGCAGTTGCTCACATCCTGTGATGCTATACTAAATTACAGGATGAGAGAACAATCAACACAAGAATTGTGAACTCCATTAAGGCAGAATATATTTCTTATGAATCTCTGTATTTCTATGGCCTAGTATATTACCTAACCCATGGCTAACACCTATTAATTAATCATTTTTGAACAAATAAATAACTTCAGGACTTTTTAAGAACACAGTGATTGTGGTTTATCTGCTGTTAATGAAGATCATGGGCTAGTGATTCAAATATCTTTAATGTAATTTTCAGATTTTGTGCTTAATAATCACTAAAATGTGTATTTGAATTCCAGTTGCTTTTTTCATTTCTATCTAGCTTGAGTCCTCCTTTCCATTTTGAACTTTCTTTCTCAAGGGCTACACTCCTGGATAGTTAAAGAGCACTGAAAGAATTGTTTTTTAGCTATGAAATCCGTTTAAGACGCTAAGTGCTCTATTGATGACTTGCATTTGTGCAGTGGGTTACAGTGTTCAAAACACTAACTTACAGCTTAATTTCTGTAAGTTCCAGCAGGGTCTTCCAAAGAGGTGAGGTAGATTCCAGGGGGGAACACTGCTCCCTGGCCAGTTTCCCAATACTTAATCACCACACCTCCCCTGTCTCAGCCCATCACCAGTGGGTATGTCACTAACAAAGTTCTTCACAAATTGACACTGAATTATCAAACTTGAGAGCTTGAAGGAGACAGAAGGTATCATGTCCAGTTACCTCAACTACCAAATGATAAAAATTTGACATGCTGAAGTAACCAGAAATTCACCCAGATTCACAAACTAAGCTGAAATTTCCAAATTTTCTATTATCTTTTTTACAGCATGTTCTCCCACTTATTGAATCACTCCTTGTTTTGATTTTAATAGCTTTGTTAGGGCCTCCCCTGGTGGTGCAGCGGTTGAGCACTGGGCTGCGAAGCTGCCCTCAGTCTTAGCAACACTGGTTCGATCCCCGGCCACCGCGAGGTTCCCACATGGCGTGCAGACCTCTCCTGCCACCCGCTGCTCCCCTCAGCAGTGTATTTAGTCAGTCTGCCTGTTCTGCTCCCCGCTCTGGCTCTGGTGAATTCTCTCACCCTCCGCTCCTCTGACTGTACCCAGTGCTTTTATAAATAAATAAATAAATAAATCTTTAAAAAAAAATAGCCATGGTAATAAACTCTAAATAAACCAACTGTGTTCCTATTGAGAACAAAATTATTTTCCTGAAAGCACAGCATTATTGCTTTTTCTGATGACAAAATAGAATTCCTACATAATAATCTGCTAGAGGAACTGAAATAATAACAATTAATAAGTGATTCTCATCCATGCCAAGAAAATATCAGTTAGTCCAGTGCCCACCTTGGTTGCCAGATAATTGTGTTTATTTTGATCTTTCTTTGCTTTCTCATTTGTTTTAGCTTTTTTGAAATTAGTGCAGTTTAAATTTATTTTTTGAGATGGCTTTCACACATGTGTTAACTGAAATTTAACTTTAGAGCTTCTCATTTTAAACCACATATATTATTTAAAAAGTAGGTAAACTAACAAGCATCAACATAGATAGCATCTAAATAGCTATTTCTTTTCCCCTGAACAAATTTTATTAGAGAATTTATATCTATATAAACTGATTATTTAAATTAAGAGTTTTGATTTTCAGTTTTACTTACATTTATGATAAAGTAACTTCCTAGGTTGTAATTATGATAGATATGTTTCCCTTTGCAATTAGATATAAGTGAAGCTTGCATTTGGTTTTGTTCAGCACTGTTGCTATCTTCAAGGAAATACCGTATACTTTCGATTTCAGTGAATTATAGAAAACAAATTATTTTAGGAGCGACCCTTTGTTCACCCGCTCCTTATTGAGCCACCGTCTCATTAAAGCAGTTCCACTGGTTGATGAGAGAACACCAGTGTCATCACACTAACAAGGAGCTAAAATATTAATTTGAATTTGGAAAGAAAAAGTCATTTCCTTGATGAACTACCACAGTGAGCTGACTCATTATAGAGTAGGCACTTTTAGGCAGGGATCAAAGTGGCAGTAACCAGCAGCTAGGAGAGCAGGGAAGAAGGATTCAGCAAAGGCAAAACAGTAATGATGTGAAAAACCAAAGGGCAAGGCAGTGACAAGGTCTCAAGCAGCTCAAGGTTTGTTTTCAATCTCATTTTAGATTTCCACAGGCTTGGTGTGTGTGTAAATTTCTTTCACAAATCGCCTCTTTTGAGTGAAACTGAATTTTTTGAGTAATTGTCAGATGTGACATTTTCCTACATTTTGCAAAAGTAGAAATTGCTCCGTGGGGATAGATGAGTCTTTGGTAAGTTAGAGCTCAGAAATTGATGTGTTGAGAATTAGGTCTTCAATGCATACTTTGTGAGAGTAAGCTTAAGGATGTCTGAGAACTTTACTTCTCAAGAAATAGTAAGATAATAAAAAAGTTGCTAAACATCATTTCCCCTATCTTTGGTCACACACATATTTAAGAAGCTTTTCTCATTTATTTCTAGGAAGTAGGTTGTCTAAATTATACAGATACTCTATCTTCCCCCAGCAGTAAACAAGGTATTTTACTCATTTTTGATTGCCTAAGTTTGCTGAAAAAGAGATTATTTTCATTTATAACACACCATTTCTGCTTTATGTGCTTTTATTACTTCACACAAAATATTGATCTTTATCTACGAACCAACATTTCAGATTATCAATAAAACATACTATTTAACACCATTGTAAATTACTGAATAGGGAACATTGTGACTAAATATCTATTAAAATGTCATCATAATATATAAATGTAATTATAATTTAATACTTAATAATCATTACTCTAATATTCATAAAGTGAAGAAAAAGATAAATGAAAAACAGTATATAGAGTTAAATATTATATACAATAGAATATTATGCCATCTTAGAGACACTATTTATATGAAATTTGAAGCAAAATTATAAAATGAATGCAGTCTGATTTTAAAGATTTGTTTAGCATCCAAGATCTGGGATGTAGGCCAGAGGTGTGGGGGGGTGAGAGGACTCACCAGAGACAGAGTGGGGAGCAGAAAAAGCAGATTTACTGAAATAAACTCCTGAGGGCGGGTAGGAGGCGAGACTGGAGAGGCCTGCTGCGCCATGTGGGTTAGCTACCTGGCTGGGCATGAAACTCAGGCCATGGTGGTGATAGAGTTAAGACTTAACCCCTAGATTAATGCTTCCCCTAGGGAGGCCCCAGTATGTGATTTTAAATAATTTATGTAGCAAAATGTTTATGAAAATTTTGGAAGAATACAGGCCAAAATTTATTATCACTAACTCCTTAGAGATAGGATGATGAGTGTTTCTTATGTCTCTTTAATGCACTATGGAGCATTTAAAATTATTGTGAAAGTGTAATTCCTTAAAAATCTATTAAAAGTCTAAAGAAGTTTAAAGATAATTAAAAAACAATTAAAATATAAAAAACCAAAATCAATGATTAAGTCTCTTTATTGTTTTCTGATTCAAATTCACAGCTTTAAATACCATCAATAGACTGATAAATTTCAACTTTCTATATAACCTCAGTGAGCCTGACTCGACAATTTGAAAGCCTTAAATAGCAGAACTGAGACAACCCACAGGAAGAAATTCTGCCTATGGAAAGCAGCTTCAACTTCAACACGTAAGTTCCAGGCTGCCTTTCTTAATGGCCTTCCCTATTGATTTCAGGTTTTCTGAGCCAGACCTCAAAATCAAGTAAACCAAATCCTTGCAATAAATTTCTTAATAAGCATATATTCCTCTTGCTGAATACGGACTGATTTTATAGTTCTCCATATAGGTAACAATCCCTTCATTTTTTTAATCAAAACACATTTTTTCTAAGGTCCTTGCTACTGTTCATTATAGTTAAGCTTCCCCTTTCCTGCTTTATTATTATCAATGCTTACCACTTACCACTATCCACCCTATTAGATGTTTTACTTTTCTTGTATCTGATTCTCCAACTAGACTATACTGTGTATGAACAGAGATTGGTGTATCTGACTTGTTTTTATCACATTTATTACCTACACAGGTATCTAACACATGGTATTTGCTTAATATTTTCTTAATGAATAGATTGTGGCAATGAATTTATACTTGAATTTCTTCCTGTTTTCCCATATAGATATATTGGATTTTCTTTCAGTCAACAAACAGGGTGATGTTTTTATGCATTGTATGTTAGTGATACCATTGCTAAGTATCTATGTTGAGTCACTGTCCATGCAGTGGTTTCACGGACCATCCAAGCAGGTGACAGGTCAGAATTAATGGTCCAATCTTTGTGAATATGTGAGGCCCTCAGCAACTCAGTGGGCTGCCTAACAGCTGCCTTTCCATTGTGAGCAGATAACTAAAGTGCTGTGATGTGTGCATAACAAAATACGGGGCATTTTATGTGATATAAAAGTTATTTAAAAGTATTAATAAGCTGGGAATATTTATAAATATTTAGCATAGATTTCACAGTACATATCAGAGCATACTGGTTTGCAATTTGATAAATATACTCTAACATTTACAATAATATGTCTGCTATGAATGAATTATACTAAGTTAAGTAATCAAGCTTCATGTTGAAAATAGTTACAATACAAACTTTAAGGTAACTTTTAGGGTGCTTTTTATTAGGCAAATTAAAAAACGAACAAATGAACAAATAAAATAAAACTAACCATTGAGACTCAAAGACCATATTAGTGGTTACCAGAAGGGAAGTGGGACAGGGTATAGGAAAGTCAGTTAAAAAGATAAAATTAGATTTTTAATGATAAACTTAATTTAGTGTGTACAGATTTGTAATGCTGACTTGTAATGATGCACACCTGCAACTTATATATTGTTATAATTCAATGTTACTTTTATCAAACAAGTTAAATACATATTAAATGTAGTCTGTGTTTAGACGAAATGTTATTTTATGAATCACAGTTGCTGTATTGAAATAATAGAGGTGATGGTAAATCGTACTGTATTCCTTTGTTCTGAATGCTTCCATTTTCTTTATAGTTATCTGATGAGATTTCTCAAACTATTATCAAATCAAGTTTGGACCATCATCTTGTATTAATTCACACATAAACACATATAATCACAGGCCACAATTTTGTGCATATGATAATAATACTCACTCTATGTCAGAAAAAAATATAACCTGAGCTTAGATCAACTTACTGGCAGAACTTATAAATACATCTCACCTCTCAATAATGGTTAAGTGTTATTTTGTGGCCCAAGTAGTTTCTGTAATTTATATAACTCTAGCCAGGAAACATAAAAGTCAGAAGTGTTTTAGATTTTCTATTTCCAGACAATAATATTGAAAATATGTTTATAAAATGATATTCTAAATTAGATAGAAACATTCATTTCTATCTTAAACTCAGATGAATTTCAATTAAATATAAATTTACATTTCCTAAATAGACATAGAAAACAATGTGGAATTATTGCAACTAAATTCTAATTCTAAATTCTAATTCAAAACCCTTCCCAAATTTATTGTCAATAAAGTCAACACAAATAGCAACAACAAGAACTATACAAAGGCAAAAATATGCACTTCTTGGCCCAGCTGTAATTTAATTTGTTTTTTTAAGTAGAGAAATGCTTACTGGGACCTTTATGCTGAAATTCTGTAAAGCCTCTCAAATTTTGTTGTGTACCATTAAGTTTATTATGCTCTGAATTACTTTAAATAAATTATTAAGAGAACTTCTTATCCCTCTTTAAAACTTGGACACATCTTATTAGCACATGCCCTCTGCTCTACACTAGAATACACACCAGAGGGAGAGTTTAGAATCTGAATGCTCAGAGTTTAAGACATCAATCACATTGCATTTACACCTGAAGGACTTTATTGGCTTTAAAGGGAAAATAAAATGATAGTAATATGTTGAAGGAACTGTCAAGGCCCTGCCATCCCTCCAAAATGGGCCTCCCACAAAACACAGGCCAATATATTGATTATCTGGGACAGCACTTAGAATAGTGTAAAAAGGCCAGTCTTAGTCTCGAAATCTAATCCAAAAAGAATATTTGAGCAGATTTAATAAACTTGCAAAATAGCTTCAGTTTCAGTTATCTCATATTTTCTGTACCATTAGTAAGCATGAGGATTGAAACATGATCCAAGTATTCCTAGTCTCATGGAAATAATAGTATTTAATTCCACCCACATTTCAAATGTACCCATTTACAATAGTTTCAAATATTAACTATATATTTTTAATATTACTAAAATGGTTGGTTATTTTGCCTATTTTGAAAACAACTGTTTTATATATATATGTATATGAACACACACATATACATTTAAGCATTATATGTGTATGTATAGCTGTTACATGTGTATACACCTATATGTATATTTTTTAATATTAATATAAATTGTTGAAATCATTTTACAGTTACCTTTTACTAGAGTATATAAACTATATATATAATATATATGTTATATATATATTATATATATAATTTCAAACACAACTTAGCTCTTTAAACATCTGTTCTGGCAAAAAAGGATGAAGACCCTTCGAGTTATCAGCCCTTTCAAATACTGAGCTATAAAGATAATAGTGACATAAAAATCAGAGGTGTCATAGAAAGTTTAGTGTTCTCGAATTTACTACTCACAATTCTAAAGTAGAAATTTAACTCCTCTTTCTGTGTTATGACCAGAGTGCTGAAAATATACCTGTTAGATAAAGAACAAATGCTGTTTAAAGTTAAGTATAAAGGCCTTTCATGCCACTGTAGCCTACAGGTTAAAACCCCTAGCAGACGCTTCCAGGAAATAGGAAGAGGTGTTACCCAATATAGTAGAAAATCCATTCTTATTTATATCCAAGAAGGAAATGTATTCAAATATTTAACGACAATTTAAAATGTTAGTCTGTTCACCCGAATGAGCTGGATCTGCTGATACCATGGATCCAGAGTACTCAGTGAAATAGAGAGAACCCCAACATCGAGTAGACTCACACTTAAAAATATAGCAAGCAGGAAGTATTCTTTGAGAAACCAAGTTTTGAAACCAGAAGCCCTCGTCCTTGGGCCTCAGTGCTTGGCCCCTCCGCACTGCTGGTGGGTGGTGCAAGCAGTAGCGGATGGCAGGCATTTTACCATCCACCACCAGTGGTCCTACTGGGGTCTCAGGCTGCAGACTGAGGCCAACAGTGATGGTGGACAGTAGTGGCTCCCCTACCACTCCACCCCAGGGCCTGCAGCTCCTGAAGCCCACTGCACCAGCTCAATGCTATGACTTCTTCAGCTGCAGGCAGTTGAGAGGCCCGTGGACATGGTTCCTGGCTCCTGGTATGGACTGATCAGGTGCAAGCTATGAGCTTGTTGGTAAATGGTCCAATCAGCCATAGGATTGAAAATAGTCCAGTCGGAGAGGTGGGGGAGTGGGGGAGATCCTGAGAATGGAGACAAAGCAGGCAGGGCAGGAGCCAGCTTAGAACACACACTAGCACTGTCTCACACTGTGCCTGAGAAGGATTCTCTTGGTTCCTGGCCTCAGAAGACAGACTGACTCTCTCAGACTGGCTGTTGCTGACCTCTGAGGAACAAGAAACATCCAGCAGCCCACCTCCGAAGAAATAAGTGAAGCCAAAGAGATTCACAGAAACCAGGGGCTGTCACACCTGCCTCCCGCCTGCCTCTAACATTGCCTGAAAAGAACACCAAAGGCCCTGGGCCTGGCGTCTCAAAGAACCTTTTGTTGTTGGCTTGAGCTGACAACTCACAGAGAGTTGTAGCACTGGTATATCTAACACCCCTTCTCGCCCCCCTCCACCACCCCAGCCCGCCAGTGCTGGTAGAGAACAAGCTCCTTAGCCACCAGCTTGGGCTCAGATTCAGACGCTGGCATTGGACGACTGTGTCAGCCCAGGTCTCAGCAGGAATCAGAAAGCAAGTTCAAAAGGGTTTTACTGAAAGTGATTTAAGGAAAGGATTATTTTCAGAAGTGTAGACAAGGTTAACCAACAAAAAATGGCAAGGCACCCCAGGGCAAATAACACTGGAAAGCATTTATCTATCTTTCTGTAGGAAAAAGTGGGGCATCTAGTGTTAGACAAAGCCAGAGCCTGAGGAGGAAGCCGCCAGTAGGAGCGGGGACTGTGGAAAAACACCTTGACTGCCAGACTGACTGCAAAGCAGGAAAGACAGAAGACATGGCTGTGCCAGCATCACTTTCTACTTCTTCATCTCCCGCCAGTCACAAGTTGTGAGTGATAAAGGACACAGAGTCTCCCCTCCTGGGCAGAGAGCACAATCATGGATTTGGAGAGCAATCCTTTGTTGTATGGTAGAAGGGAGCAAGGCATTGTTTCTCTGTTTTAATGGACACATTGTAGGGCCTGTGAAAAAAGTGTTCTCCAAGTTTCTCAGACTCTTTCACCGTGACCTTCCATCACAGGTGGCCCAGGAGATAACATGTAGCCTTGACATGTGGTCCGCATGTGTGGGGAGCAGCATGGAACCTTGATGTATAGTTTCCGTGTGTGACACAGGCTTGTATAAACTTGGCCCAAACTTCACCTGTGCTGGCTTCACCTATAATCGTATAAAAAGTAATAGGGCTCCTGAGGGGACACTTATTGATGGGCTGGGGGACACTGCTGCAGC